GGAACATGGAATGAACTGACCCAAAAATGTGTGTACATAATAAATAATACCTAACCCTGAAGTCCCACTGAGGGGATATAATCTCCAAACTGATAAAGATTCATCACAACGTAAAATTTTTAATTAAATTATAGCAAATATTTCAGGTTTATTAATTATCATGTTTTTGCTCCTAATTACGAATGTATAAAAGTTTGTTTCCTCTACTTCATAAAAAAATCGACAAAAACTGTTTCTGATACTTGAATATCTCACCTTTGAATTTTGACATACTGAATTAGTTGTTTCAACAAAACCTATCTGTTCTGTTGTAATGCAAATCAAGCAGGTGCTAACTTCATTAAAACAACCCGAACCGTCGACTCTATTGAATATCATGTTTCCAAATATGTTCCACTCACCAAATCTTACAATGATAAATTATAAAAAATGATTAAATAGAGGCAGGAACCCATTGTGGGCTCCTGATAATGGCTAAAAAGAAGATTTCGTGTCTTTTGCTTTTGGCAGGGGATCGTGTCTACCGATTGATGATTAATTTATCAACAAATTTCGCATGCCCTTGAATTGAAGTAAACCCATTTGAAAGGAAGAAGTAGCTATATTGCAGAAATGTTCCATGTAAATTTTTACGATTGCCTCAGTTAATTTGAAATAAAAATAATATTGAGGTCGTTGAGGTTGAGGGACCGACTTTCATAACATGGATATATAGAGACTTTGCTCTATAAGAAGTGGTTCATAGCTACTGATCACCCCTAAAAAAGACGTTTTACGAACCTGGGAGAGTGTATGAGTCAAATTTGTCAAAATTTCTTCAAACCATATAAATTTATGAATTGAAAACTAAGAGAAATTGTACTTCACTATCATCTAGCCAGGTGCAAACGCTAATGACGTATGCGTGCACATTGCGTGCCAGAGGGAATTTCCTGACACACACTGAGGAACTCTTAAGCATCTGTCACGTTTCCCAAATTTCCCGTGTGCTTCATATTTCAATGAATGCACATCTAACATATAAGCCAATTGTAATTTGGTCTATATTCAATGTCAGGACAAAATCGAAAGTTTCGTGTTTCTTGACTATATGACCATGGGGTCCTGTAAGCACACCATGACGGCGACGGCAACGAGGACGTGGCAAAACAAAACACAGTTAACGAGCAAAACAAAAGCTCAGCGCGTGCGTTTTAAAACTTTGCAAAACAACAACGTGAAACTTCCAGAATTTGCGTGGACTGAGAACAGAAACCCCATGGTAAATTAATTAACTTTATAAGTGCAACTCAACACCACGAATTGTTATGTTTAAGTTGAGGTGTGGCGCTGTAAGAAGCTGGAAACAAATCCAGCCATCTGCGAAATTTTAACCCAAACTGTAAATTCATTTTTTGAACGACTTTTTCCACAGCGCTGCCGTTCTTGCTGCGTTGGGTCCCTCGTATTTCAATGATAACTGATTGGTCCGATTTTCACGCGGACATAACATTGCTGTAATTTTACAGATTTTATGAATTTTCTATTTTGAATAAAGGGTGAATTCGCATTGGTCAATATCTTGACCAATGCGAATTCACCCTTGATAGTCTTGCCTGTTTGCGAAATACTTCAGATACGAAAATGGTTGAATCAAACTAAAAATCATCGCGAAACATGTTAGAAATGATCCCCTGCTTCTTGAACATTGTTGACTAATTGTTCAGGTCTGTTCAGGGAAATAAGTCTCCCTTAGCCTCGATGATTGGGAAAACACAACTGGATGCCATCATCTTCTCTTCAAATATCTCAATTATGACAACTGAAGCAGTTAATTCTTTATTTATTTTAAAAATTTTTCTTCTTGTCTCCGTTAAAACGTCTCAGTTCTTCTTTGCGTTCCCCTGAATGCGTGACATAATATATTGTGTGACATTCCTGTTAATTTATGATGCAGCTGCTTGTCAGAAAAGTTCACTTTGCCCCAGTCCTTTTTTTACGCTCCCCTGAATGTATGACATAAAATTGTGCGACATTCCGGTAAATTATGTAGCTGCTCGTCAGTGAGGTTCAGAGGAAAGTGTTAGGTAGCGTTCTCTACACAGGTTAGTTCACACATTTGTACAACTTGCAATAAGTTACCCATAATACATTTGTCCCAAATTCATCGTGAAATAAGCTCAACGCACAGGTCGTTAAGAGAGTTAGAGTTATGTACTTCGTCTATTGCGTTTTGAGGAATCGATCTCAAATTATGACAGCTGCATAACTCAATGCTTCTTTTTGATGCAACATGGACTCCAATCATCATTGCTGGACGGAGAGTAACTCAACACTAACATCTATCTTAAGAATGTTAAAAAAAATAGTTATTTCATCATCAGAGGTATTGTATACAAAGTTTCCCAACTCAAAAACTACCATTCCAATCTCCAACTCAACGAAAATCTGAATTCTATAGCATAAGAGTTATCAATTTGGAGTAAGCAAAATGTATTTGTTATTTAAGGAATCGAAGAAACAAGCCTTGTATTCCCTTTTAATTGAACCAACAAAACAATCTTTCGTCAAAATCCGCGGGATAGCGTTGTCAAGACATGCTTTACGTAATTTCTTTTAAAACCTTTTAATGAGTATCTAATTGCTCGGGTTCAATTGTAAATCATTTCGTTAAGTGCAAATGGCATTAGTGAATTTCAAACGAACAAAAGATAAGCGTAAGGACAGAAATCTCAATTGTGTTTAGTTCTCACAGCAATATAATCGAACTGGTCTTAGTCTGCCAACATAACCATTCGTACCAACCCAGATTTCATGCTGGGAAACAGTTTATCTTTCATCGAGAAGTGAAAACCTCAGTCGGAAGTCGTCGTGAATATATGTATTAGTTATCGCTGTAATTATGACAAATTTTCAACATTGTTCAGAACTAGAAATGGCTTTTTAGAACAGGAATAATCAATGGAACCTCAATGATGAGTTTTTTTACTGAGATGCTGAGGGATGAATGAATACGTCGTTTACATTTTCTTTAACCCTTGACACACTAACATCAGTATGCATATTCTCCACACTGTTCTCCATTCATTTCCTAAGGTACTGACAAGGAGAATTTGTTTAACAATCATGAGCTCTGTCAGTGGTGATCATTTCCTTTATTCTTCTGACCTTAATATGTGATTCAGGGCTGATACTGTAAGAAGAAATTAGATGCCAGTCACTCTTAGGTGTCAAAAGGGAGGAAGAAGTTTGGAGTGGGAACATTACTAACTTTGATTTTTTTTAACTTTGTTCTTATTTTTGTAGCGCACGGAAGTAGATGACATTGTGAACTTGCTAGAGACGTTCATTGTTGGTATTCGGAGAAATGGAAAGCGACTTTAGAGTGGCAATCTGCACAACGGGGCTGATTTTTCTCGTTTTGTTTTGCTCTGTTGCATCTGTCGCTAATGGTTTACTCCTTGTTGTTCTGTACAAAGATCCCTCAAGATGCTTCAGGAAGCCTATAGTGGTGTACATAGCCGCTCTAGCGCTGATGGACTTTTTGAGTGGAAGTGTGACAGGAATTGGTGTTATCTACAATTATATTTTGTGCGCACTTGGAAAAGAGAATTCTTCCTCACTGGAAGGTACATTGTTCGCAGCAGTTTTCGCTGGGTTCACAATTTGTACAGCAAATATGTTAGCGTTGTTGCTGTCTTGTGAGAGGCTCTTTGCTGTAGCTTTTCCAATCGACTATCGGCAAAAGTCCACGGTACGGAGAGGTGTCATTGCTGTGGCAGCCGTGGTGGTTTACTCCCTTACCTTCAGTTTATCAAATTTAGCGGGGTCTAATTGGAGGAGTGCACCTTTACGCTTTCACTTGACTGTTACTGCACCCTTCTTGGCATTGATCGCTGTAAATATAGCGCTTGTTATGGTAATAAGACTGCACAACAGGAAAACAGAATGTCTGTTGGAAGGTTCTGTAAGGCCATCAAATTACTCTGGTGTTGAATCAAAACGTAGACAGAGAGAGAAGACTTTGGCAGTCACCACACAACTGATAGTGTTTTGTTTTGTAACATCTCTACTTCCTTATCTCATCTTTAAACTAATGGATCTCTATTTGCCCGAATACAGAGAGCAGGATTGGTTTTTCGCCGGTGTAAGATTTTTCCTCCCGTTCGTCTATCTAAACCCCGCAGCCAACCCTCTGATATTCAACTTCAGAATTGCGCACTTCCGGCGGGCGTTCAGACTCGTTTTCATGTCACGCTTTGAGCCACGTGATAGGCACCTTCGGCTGAAGGTCATACAGTTCAGTTCCTCTGAAAGGTCACGTGACATCCAATGATGAATGATATGCTATCTTTCTCGGAGTATCATCATACATAAATGAACATCAACAATAAAATTGACAAAAATGATAAATTCCACTAAGTGTTTCATACATGTTAGAAATTTTATCGATGTGTTACAAAGAACATTTATGTTCACCTGACGCACAGAAATTTTTTTATGTATTTTGAGGGCCGGTCGTATTTATCACCTGTTGGGGGTCAGAGGATTTTGGTTGCGTCACAATAAAATTTTGCCTGATCCCCCCCTCTAAGGCTCTGAAGTATTTTTCTGATCCCCCTCATTGCCAGTCAATTTTCTAGTCCCCCCTTTATACTCTGTTAGCGACGACTGCTCCCCACTCCGTTCTCCTTGAAAACCATGTGATCCCCACAATCCTCTACCTCCCTTCCCAAGGCGAAAAATAATTACTGATCCCTGATGGTAGTTTCTTGTCCTCTCATATATCAGAGTCTGCTTGTAGCAGTTCTTAGACTTCTCATTGGCTTATCACCCGATAGGTCGATAACATGACAAGAGTGACAAATGAAAATGGCAGATTATAAAATTACAGTTCAAACTCTTAGATTATAATGTAATTTACTTCTTGTCTGAAAATGTTTAATCTCGATACAGTGGTTAGTGAGACATGACACGTTATGATGTTGTTGAGAATTATTCTTATCTTTTGCGTCCTTCGTGTTTATCTTATCACCTAAAACCTTGGCACAGGAATACCACGGCATGGAATTAACAGGACACTCTTCGATTTTCGGTCACATCAAGTCTCACCTAGCAACACATGAGGAAAATAAGTCACATGTAAAGCTTAAAGAGGAGAAAATCAGTGAGCAGATAGGGACAACCCTCTTGGCCTTAAAGTATTCGTATTTTGTTAAGCGCAGTGCTTTAACTTAAGTGCCACCAACAAACAGAGGCTTCGCCAGTGTTTTTTTTTTTTTTTTTTTTTAATAATTCCCTTAAGTTTTATGCTAAGCTTGTCATCGAACGCACGATCAGTTTCAGAGTGGTTACGTACCATCAGAGTTGATTCAATGATCAGGTTTTCGAAGTTTTCTCTTTCCTTTCCTCGTACACAGCAACACCAAGCGACTCCAACCACTACCACTAACAGGACTCCAAACACAGGAATGAGTATCTTAGCCAGGAGAGGCAATGGTTCACCTTAAAATGTTTAAAACGATTCGTAAAAGACACAGGTGAACCAACTGAGATCTCACTCTGACACAAAACATATCCTTGTATATTGTATTTTTACCTGCTGTTGATGGTTCTCCTGGAGTAAACATAGCGACAATCCCAGGTATTTGCACTATAAAGATGAAATGTGTATAAGCTTTTATTGAAAAAAGAAGAAAATTATTAACAAACTTTACATGTTTTGGGGATTCATTTCTGTTTCAGAGGAAACACAGTTTCTAAAACATCTTAGAAAGTTTTCGATCAACAGACAAAACAGACGTGAAGGCTGAGGTCAGAATTAGGATTAGGAAGACAATGAGAAGTGAAAGAAAACAGAAAAAATGAGATAGAAAGAGCAGAAAGTGAAACAATGGTAGGAAGTGTCGGTGCATCAGGGAGATCGTTTAATTAATGAAAACTGATAGAATTATTCAAATCTTTCAAAAATTGAGAGAGAGTTATTTTACCTGTACCTATCGATTCGCCAGTAGTCTGAACACCTCTGGCTCTTGACGGTAAGCTTGCCGTCTGTAGTAATGCTGAGGAACCTGTGGAGAGATCTAGAACACCGGATGTTGGACTCGATCGTTGCACAAATGCGGAGAAATTCGCATCCGTTTGAAAGCCAGCATGATTTGATGATTTTGTTACTTTCTGCGAAGATGCAGTTTCCCGATCAACATTGACAGGTGATAATAGTGTTAATACTACTCCTGATGGACTTTGACCATTAATTTTTTGAAGGGAGCCTGAAGCTTGGAAACCCGTGGCGCTAGGTGATGGTCGTAGAAAGTATCTTGTGGCTGGGTGATCTGTGGCACCTGACGATGAATTTTCTCTAAGTGCGAACTCAACGGAACGAGTAACTTGGTAACCTGTGGCGCGAGAGGATGTCTGTAATCTTTCAGTGAGCGTCGCTGGATTTTCAAAGGAAAAAGAGTAGAGATAAAAACAACTAAAGACGACTGTTCATAACAGTGGTTTATTACTCACATGATTTTCGCGGAACTCAGAGAAACAGATTCATGATTCCATATATCCTTCGTTCCATAAACTCTAATAGCTCAGCTTCAAAAGATCTTTATAAAAACAGCTCAAACATCTAATATCACCAAACATCTCAGATAGTATACATCTAGTGTGACCAGCTTATTCACTCAGGAATTGAAATGAAACTTTTTTTTTTCTAGTTTGCTTAAGTTGAAATTTCTCACCTTCAAATACAAGAGAAATACTCTGTATCAACATCAGAGGCCTCATGTGCATGCTGGCTAATTTCTGTTGACCCTGTGAGACTGGACAAATGTAAATAAAGAAAAGTAGCAGGTTGAACATATTGGCATCTACTTAGCCCTCGAGTTAATTCTGACTCTCCAAGTGAATACTGACTTAAACAGCTGTTTCAAGAAACGTTGTCGGAAAAAAGGGGAGCAAAAATTGGATGCGATAACCCCGAAAGGTATTATGGCAGGAGCCCATTACTAATGGGCTCCTAACTATGGATAGTTTTCAGGTTACGGTTCCTCATCCCAGGATTCCAGGAAAATCTGAGAAAACGTGTACGATTTAAGATTTTCTAGACACTAGTGTCAAATTTGGGCACTGATGTCTGAATTTAGATTCAGGACACTAATGTCCGAATGAAGAGTTTGGACGCTAGTGTCCAATCTTAGATTTTAGATACTGGTGTCTGATCTCGGATCATGGACACTAATGTCCGATTTTAAAGTTTGGACACAAGTGTGAACGATTTTGGATTTTAGACATTAGAGTCTGATTGAAGAGGACACTAATGTCCGCTTTTGTATTTTTGTATCGTGTCCGATATTGGATTTTGGTCGCCAGGGTCCGACTTTAGATTTCGTACACTAGTGTCTGGTTTTTGTTTTTCGACACTAGTATCCGATTTTGGATTTTGAACACTACACAGACGATTTTATATCTTAGACATCTGTGTCGGATTTTGGATTTTGGACACTAACGTCCGATTTGGTTTTGGACGCTAATAACCCACTTTCGATAAATTTCCGTTGTTCATTCGTTGATTACCGGATACCCAAATTACCTTTCGAGACTGCTACGTGCACTTTTTTTCTTTTTGTTCGTCAACCTTTCTCGAGAAATTTCTGAATTAAGGGCTTACAAATAATTTCTTTAGATATTCGATCCACTTCCTTCCTCTCTGATCTGCTGTTGCTTTATTTCCGCTTCCATCCGTTTTCACTAAATCTTGAATATTTTGCATATTTTTTACTGACTCAAGAAAAAATTATGGTGACCGCATAGTGTTCCAACAACCCAAAATTTCCCAAAAACATTGCACATCCAAACACGTTTTCTTAGTTGTTGGTATTACACTCAGCACACGATGTTCAATTATTTCAACTGTCGCATTCATTAAATCACGGTTGAGATCGCATAATTATTAAAGCTTATATAACATCAATATTAATTTCAGTTACAATTTCGTTTCTACTTCTTAGCGGTAAAATCTACTCAGAAAAAGCCCTGACAATAACATTCTCTAATGCGGTTTGATCAAGAAGTTAACTTTAGCCTTTTTACCATTCCGCATCAAGGAATAATTTGTAAACGACGTCGACGCATCAAGATTTTATATTTGATGAGTTTTTTGTTTTGTTCCTAATTGTGAATGTCCTTCGACGAAAACAATCATCAATTGTACAGAAAAAGGGTTTAAAGAAATGGTTAAATTGAATTGAAAAATTATCTTCAATAAGGATCTTTTGTTCTTTGTGGTTTTGTGCCAAAGAAAAGGAATAAAAAAAATGAATCTTCGCCACAGTTTCGTATGACATGGGCAAATAAACATGACAACCTACCCAAAGACCACAACAGTGAGCTCTGAAAATGGTATGAAAATGGCAGTCGTCTGAAAATGACTTGATCCAATTTAGCCTTCAAAACCTAACGTTTCCGTTGAAGAAGATGAAACAATGAATAAAAAGTAATTAAAATTATGAAAATCTGACTTTTTGCTTTTAGTTATGTTCAAAGTATTATGCATTTTTTCATGCCCCGCGGTAATAAGTCAAATATAAAGGCAGAGAAACGGAAAAATCATTTTGTTATTTTTTTCTCAGTTCGTGAGCGGGCGGTATTCTACAAATCCTGCAATATGATTGGTTCCGAGAGCGTGCAGTATTCTCCCCATCCGGCTCGCTCACAGCGGGTCACGTTCTTTTCGCAACTATTTGTTAGGTTTTAGAAAAAAATAAAAATGTTATTCACCAGCCAAGGTTGGTCCGTATTGGGAAAAACTGTGCCCTCTGTCTTGTGTAGGTCTCGGGCGGTATCCAGGTCCTCGGGCACATTTTTTCCCAATACGGACCTCCCGTCTGGTGAATAACATATATTTATCACGACTTCATATCATAGCACGCGCGGTTAGTGAATGATCAGTACTATTTCATAATTATCAATAGAATGGTTATCATCATTTATTGTCGTGATAGTTATTGACATATTAAAATCTTTGTGTCAAGCCAGAAGAACAAAACACTTTTGTTTGTTTGTTTGTTTGTTTTATTTCACGATCTTCTTATCTCAAACTATCAGCTTTTATTTCTTTAAAAAGCAAATTGTTGTCTCTTCCTTTTGATCTCTCAACTTGTTTCACCGTTTAATCCCCAAGACTGACTGGCTTCTAAATCCCCATTACAGTATTGCCCCTGAAACAAATATAAAGATCACGAGAATAACAGAAATAATAACCAATTTAAAAGGCTCCTGATGGTCAAACAAATTCTCCTTGTCATTGCCATAGAAAATGTGGAGAGAACAGTGTGGAGAATATGAATATTGATGTTTTTGTGTAAAGGTTTAAGAGTTTCGTCCTACGATAACTTTAAAATGCTACCATAGAGATACTTCAATAGCTGAGCATAACATGCAAACTAATTTAAGCCGTTAAGAATATTCAAATTTAAGACCGGGGGAATTTAAAGATTTAAACGATCAGAAGTGGGTTTAATTTTTAGTAAGGTATTACCCAGCCATTATTGATAGGAAGGGATAAGATTTTCTCCGGCTGATTATAAAGAACAATGAACCTTTAGCGTGCGTGCCTATAGTGATCTTTAAGATGGCCTCTGGTAACATAACACGTGCTATATATCATGCTTTAGGCGTCCATACTTGACTAACATGTTCAACCTATTCCATAGGTATTTCTTTTTTACTTTTTTGAGAATTTTTAGAATAATCTTGACTTTTCAATCATTTTTACCAGCTTTTCAATTGGTTATCGTAAAAGCTCCCCAAAATTGTTCAATAAGTCTGGTTACTAGTAAAGTTTCGAGGAACACTGGAAACGTTCAATGTGCTAGGCACCAGACCCTTTCACACTCAGCAACCAGGACGCCAAATTATTGAACAATGAACATTTCCTATGTTTTCAAAGCGGACGGAATCTTCAAACAGCGCACCAGAGCTTTTTTTAATAGATTCGTTCCAAAGGAAGCTATTGACTGACTGAACAATATAGCTGCGTAAGAAATTGTCAATCAACTTCAAAATTTAGCCCAATTGCTGGACACAACACAAAGTTCTAGAAAGTTTCAAGACACGAGGGTGACTCCGAACTAAGGTATGAAGTCAGGTTTATTACAGCTTAGTAAGTTGAAGTTTATACCCTTGGGAAATTAGAAAAAAAGTAAAGGCTTTTGGGGTATTGACAATCTGAATACATCGCTCATTGTCATTTGCTACGTTCTTGTCGAACGAATATTCAAATATTTTTAAGAAACCTGGCAGGTAATGACGATTCTATAATTGGACAGATTTGGGAATAAACGCTGGTGGCTGAATGGAAAAAGATTTGTAGGTAGTGCAATCTACAAGGCGACTAAAAATCCAAAACGTTTGTGATGAAGAGGCTTCGGTTTACTCCTGAGGGATGCAATAATCTTGTCTAAACGCTGTATGCTTATTCAAACACACAAATTAAACATTTAGATTTTGCGTGACAAAAGTTGTGCAGCCATGAAACGAAAATTACGGCAATTGAAGAATGATTACTTGATAAAGTACGAAAAAAGTGAAGTTTTTACCACACACGTTTTTATGATGAATATTTTGTAACACTATATGATGGAAATGTTACGTGATTGCAACAATTCGTAGCGTGGGAAAGTAATCAAATGGCGTTAGTTGAAATAACACAACATAATTACCAGGCTTCATCATAATATTTGCATCTACAACACGGTATCCGGTAGTAGTAAAGAAAGCTTATGAAAAGTTACTTCTCTTTAATTTTATCGCGATTCAATTAATTGTCCCTGGTTCGTTCCAATTAAAGCCGATCTTTTTTAGATGGCTGTATCGTTTTCTTAAGTACAAAATACTTTGAATCAGATTTTTTCTGATCGCGAAAGAATAGCTTGTTTTCTAGAGATGGAAACTTTTACTAAAGAATTTATGGAATCTGTCCTAGTTTGAGTGGCGTGACAGGGAAACTGTACGTCAACTGACTTGCGAAACACAAATAAACTGACTGAAAATTAAATTTCTAAAGCTTGTGCAACAGTTCAGTTATATTATCTGTTCTCTCTATTTCGTTTACCAGCAATGATTGAAGCAAAATTTATGCGAACAAGATCAGATAGGTTGTAAAAATAACTCGATGTAGTGTGGATGACTTTTAGGATACATATTTCTTGTGGAACGTCATTTATGTTTATTTTTACATAAACCATCGTGTACATTATAATTGTCTATCAATCGTCTCAATTAACAGACAAAGTCAATAGTCCAGGTTAGAATCCATTCTACAGTCAGATAGCTTTTTTTGAAATGACAGTCTGATTTGAGAACCTGGCAGAGGGCGTGTGCAGAAAGACATCTTTCTTTATTTTCCACCTCACCTTGATAGAAAAGAGTTTTGTCTTCGTAGGAAAACGCAACAGCGAGGGTAAATTTGAGTGGGTACAAAATCCTAATTATCTTGAAATCGGTCCAAAGTTGGGTTCGAAACTTCGCAGGACCGGCCCAGATTTTTTTCATCGTCTCAAGTTCGTGTCAGTCTTGTCACTTGGTCAGTCTTTTCTCTTTTCTCAGCTTCTGGTTTGCACATGTTGCAATCAACGTAGGATCAATCTGTTCTCTTCTTTTATCATATTTCTTTTACTTAACATGCCAAGAGGCATTCTTGCCGGTCAAGAGGACTTAAACAGCGCAAGTTATCTTCATTCAGTGTCATCTTATCAAACAGACTGCAGATAACTTTTGAGAGGTTGGATTACTAAATATGTTGCTAAATATGGTACCAAATTACCAACTAACTGAGAATTATTAAAAGGTGGTGATTGAAGTCTTGAAAAATGATTGTGATCAATAGCCCTTTCGTCTCTTTGTAGATTAAAGGGCCATCAGCACTCAGTAGTTATAATGAGGAATGTTGAGGAATGTAACGTAACCGATTTTTTTTTAAAATTTTTTTCACTTTTGCCTTATAGTAAAATGGAAGTTGTACGATTTAATCATTTTCAGACAACACAGCTAAAGGTATCCCACAGGCCACCCGCAGGCCACCCACAGGCCACCCAAGCTCAATATGCAAATACATAAATACTTGTCTTAGAATCACGTTTGCGTTTGGAACTAAAAATTGAAAGAGGAACTCAAAACAGTATGAATTAGTTATCGCACTGAATCAACTCAAAACCGTGCCGGCGATCATGAAAAACATTATGAAACGAGGTGAGGGTTTCTGAGGTGCCTGTGGAGTAACTCGCGCACGCGAGCTTGGAGATCACGCGCGCGAGTCAGCTGTGACTGTCGACATCGGCGGCATAATGAACATATGTTCGTATTACTTGTCTTGCATGCCGAGGGTTAAAAGTTCATATCATATCAAACTCTACAAGCCGTGATTTTTTTTTCAGGGGGAAGCTGTTGTGCAATTTCTTTCCATTCGTTCACATTTCCGTGGATATTTGACGAACGTTGGGTGAGTAAAATGTATTTGGTTTCTGTGCGTTCAGCTTCTGTTTAGCCTCGGACAAAAGCCTCATTCGCTCTTTGCTGTCCATGGATGTGGCCATGTAATTGCAAATCTTTCCCCTTGCTGTTGCAAACTTACTAGCAAACCCGAAAATGGTGTGCAATGGGTCGTGTCTTCCAATAGTTCTTACGCTAGTCAACTAGTTAAGTCTGACTGTTTCAAAATCAAATCATTTAAAAGTCTTCACAAGGTTGATACTAAACGGCGAGAATAATAACAAACTTTATTACAAACACGCCCCTTCACTTTTGTTGTCGTCAGATATCGCGTGATGAGGATGAAATCTTCAAAATACCCCAAGTTTTTCTTTCCACATCGCAACACCCAGATTTTTCATCGCTTTTCTGTTTATTGAGAGCTACTTTTGCCCTCACTGAAAATAGCGGTATGCTGTTTCGTGCGTTTGAGTTTTGTTTAGTTAAACCATCGAGTTATCGGCGATCAAGAATCGAAGTGGCCATAGAAATGCTGATAATACTTTGTTTGGAAAGTAAATATAATTTCCTGTTTACTTTTCCACAAATAAAATGTGATAGTAACTTCTGACTGAAAAGACAAGTTCCCATTAACAAGTGTAGGAATTAAATGATATGTCTATAAATATTTGCACCTTTCGAGGTATCTCATGGCATTTCCCCATAGTGGCGCACTTGCCAGCTTGTTTTAATAGTTCAACATTCTAGCAATGAGTATCGAGTTTAAGGCTTAACACAAGGTCTTAATTAATGCCTAACAGGATTGTGTCACGAGAAACATTTGTCCTTTTCACTCGTGACAAAAAATGTCGCAAAGTGACTTCAAATCAAAGGAAAATGTGATTTTAACTCAACGTGGAATGTCGTGAATTTTTTAGAATTCAGAGAGGATAAAAAAATGCCTGACCGAGCGCCCGTGGCCACCCACAACGAAACTGGTAAAATGATGTTGTGTCATGTCTTTCGGCCATGTAAACTAATCATGTGGAGCTCATGGATCATTTTCTTCTTAGTCAATTTGGAGACGCAAGGTAATGTTCTTTGGTTAAGCCTTTAATCCCTAAGAGTGACCAGCATCTAATTTAAGAAGTTTTGATTGCGAACCAAATTCTCCCTGTCAAAAACTTAAGAAATGTAGTGAGAACAATAGGGAGATTATTCTTACTCGTGTTAGGTTGTAAAGGGTTTTTTAGTGGCAAAGCGCCCAGTACGTGCCATGCAGTTGTAGGTGGTTCTGTGTAATCTCCTTTTTCAGGCATGTCACTTCTGCAACTGATCTTTCCGTTTCTGATTTCAAAATCTGTAAGCATGTGTCATCTGCTCGTGATTAGCTCCTTAAGCTGGATTTGAAATGACCTTGACTTAGCTTTGTTAAAACAATTTTAGCAAGTAAGAATTAATTACACATTTAAGTAACCTATGTAGTGATTTATTTATTTTTATTTCATATTCTATTTTTGTTCTTTTTTCTTGTGTTTCAATTCAGCATTTAGCGTAACTGTGAACTTAACTAATGGCCCAGGATCATATGCTGGCCGAGTACAAGTAAAATACAATGGAAGTTGGGGTCAAGTCTGTGATTATGGTATAAGCATGAATTTTGGTCACGTGATATGCAGACAGCTTGGTTACCCACAAGCCATTGCCACCCCATGTAATAATGCTTTTGGCCGAGGAAATGTTCACTATTGGATGACTGATGTCAGATGTAAAGGAAATGAAAGCAGCTTGGCTGAATGTGATTACACTTGGGGAAAAGCTGGTTGTTCTATGGGACTTAAAGGCACTGTGGGAGTAGTCTGTGAAAGGCCCAACATGACAGTCAGTAAGTTTGTTTGGGATATGCATATTTTTATTACATTTAAAGCCAAGTTGTGATGTCTCCTTCATGGTTGATCTTTGGGATGTCACACAATGCACCCCTGTTGCATGACATTCCAGAGAATGGGCAGCAAAGGAGACCAAGTCTCTGAGGAAGATGTGTGAATTTTTAAGATGTCTGTCATGCAAATGTAGACTGGTTGAGAAGGGAGAATTTCTGATAAGATCTTTGTAGACATGACGTGTAGTATGCTGTTATAATCATTGTGCAAATTTTATATTCCTTTAAGACCATTTTTTAACCCTTTAGCTCCCAAGATCTCATTAATAATTCCCCTTACCATCTTATAAACAGTTTTAGTGATGTTTGTTTGGAGAATTTGGTATTGGATCAAACTGTAGTCCCCTAATTGATATTTTTTTTAATTCTCATCACTTGTCTACTTGAAATTGTATGGATATTGTAGGGAGAAATTCTTTCTTGGTCGCTCATGGGAGTTAAGGGGTTAAAGCAGGTGTCATCATGGATGCAATGACTTATTTTGTTGTCTGTTTTAAGCTTATCCTCCACCCCTTCGCCTTGCCCATACCACAGTACCCTATGCTGGGTGTGTTCAAGTGAAATATGCAGGGATCTGGGGCCAGATTGGGATGTTTGGCTGGGATCTAGAAGATGGCCGCGTTGCCTGCAGACAACTTGGGTACAGGGATGTATTGACAGTTCTGTATAGATGGAATTACACGTCACAGATGTTAACATGGATGGACATTGTAAAGTGCACTGGCAATGAACAATCTTTGTCAAACTGTAGCTATGAACTTGTCACATACAGAAGTGCAGAGTGGACTAATGCGGGAGTGGTTTGCAAAAATAATAGTAAAACAGGTGAATTATATGTCTAATAATGGCAATTATCTCTTAATGTTTCTGTCTGAATTGCTGAGCCAACCATCCTAGAAAAAGTGTGTCTGTCACAGTGTAAATAATCTCACTGGGTAGTCTACTAATGAACATATGTAGCTAGAGGTAACTATGTCTCCCATTCTGTACTGTTTATTTCAGGTCTTCAAATTCATCTTCAAAAATGGTCGGTTTCTTATGCCGGACGCATCGAAGTATTTTTGGCAGGAAAATGGGGTGCAATTAACAGCTACAATTGGCAGCTAGCAGATGCTCATGTGGCATGCAGACAGCTGGGTTTCTCTGGAGCTGATCTGGCCATCCATGGGGCTGCATATGTTTTTGCCCCAAAGTTTTCTGGGAACTCAATGGACATTCAATGGCTAGACAATGTTGAGTGTCGTGGAAGTGAATCTTCATTGGATGAATGCCCACATGAAGTGTCCTTTGTTCGTGTGGGAGTGCTTGAGGCTGGTGTAGTATGTAAAACCAAAAGTGCAGGTAAAAGTTTAAGGATCAACTGTGCACCTACCCCTCCACTAACCCAGCTTTAACCCTAACATGTTATCAGTTGATTGTTGTTGGGTAAGGGGAAGGTTAAGTGTACAGTTGCTCAGATACTGATGTTGATCCAAGTTTATCCTGAAATTTTTTAATTGTTTGTGTACTCACATAAGTTTGAATACAACAATTTCAAGCTATGCTAAATAGAAAAAGAGCTGATGAATAGAAAATTAAAAATGTACTTGGGAAAAAGATACATTTGTTATGGCTGATGATCCAACCTTTCACATAGTTAACGAGTTTCTTTATGTTCCATTAGTTAGTAAAATCAGGCTTGCTGGAAGCAACATGACTTACGCTGGCCGTATTGAGGTTAACATCGCGGGTGTCTGGGGTACAATCCGAAATAGGGGCTGGAATATTACGTCTGCACATGTGGCGTGCAAAGAGCTCGGTTACCCAGGAGCTGAAACTGCCATCTTGTTTGCTACTGAAACCTTTGGACAAGGGGAAGGACCTGTCTGGATGTCAAACCTTAATTGTCAGGGACACGAAAGCACATTATGGGAATGTTCCTGGTCCAGGATAGCTGGCATCTATTGGGACCATTATAATGATGCTGGTGTAATTTGTCGTGTAGAGGATCCCAGTGAGTACAAGCTTGGTTTACATTTTGCCTTAATTCCCTTAGGAAGCCAGTCTTTCATGAGTCTTCTTCCGAGGGGTACCCTGGGGGTAGCCGTGAAATGGTTCTTTATCTTATTTTGTCACAGGCCCCTTCTTAACATTGTGCTAAAAACATCCTTGACCACACCCGTCCAATTTGCGGTTAGCTTTCCTCCTCCTCTCATTTGTTCCACCTTTTGATTTAGTTATTAGTAAACTACCGTTCAAAAAATTATTGAATTCAACAAATTTCAACATATTTTTGTTTGTTGCTGTTCTCTGGCTCTCATTTGCCTTTTTTTGA